ACCTCTCTCGCTGTCGATTTTCGCCCTTTACTGACTCCTCTACAGTAAACCAGTAAGTTCTTTGTTTCAAGAGGGAAACGCCCTGTGTTCAAGCCTGATTCCCTCCATCCACCGGTCAGCAGGATGCCCTAACCTTCTGCCACCAAATTACGGCTATGGCTATCTTAGGCCAAGATTGCGATGACGAAGTTTCCCCTGACGATCCAAATAAGCCCGCGGTTACGGTAGGCGCCGGTCGAGCCTTCAGTGAACCTGTTAATTTTGTGCCTGCACTCCCTCTGCTCGTCGTATACTTGACTCGGCTTGACCTCAACCCACCAACGACATCTCAAACATTCGGTCATACAAGCCCACAACTAGCACAAAGAGCTTCCTCTGAGTGTGCATGCCGGCCGCGCCCCGCTGATGCACTTTACCGTCACCACTGCCGCCAACTCCTCAGCCACCGCCCCTTTGGTTGTCGCTTGTACATTCTCCTTTTGCAGGTACTGTCATCTGATTGGGCATAAGTACTGTAACATCTCTTGTTGCAGTTCTGCGAGCCAAGTAGAGGTAAAGCTATACTACTGGCTATCCATGCCTCCTCGACCTGCGAAAACTCATTCACGAGTTTCTATGTTGTGCGTTCAGCTTATCTAGTCTTTCAGCAGCATTATAATTAATGTATACAATTTTTCAAAATTAATGTTCTGCTCATCTCTAATCACAATAACAAGCTCTAACTCTCCGCTCCAAGCAGAACTTATTCACCTATTGTAGTAGAGTATGTCAATCACAATGATTTTAAAAAAATTGTGTTTTGAGCATTTTTTATCAGCTCTTCTCTACAAAGTTCTAATCACTGTGATTTGCGATATGAAGGAAAAGCTTCAATCGTCAAAAGAGCAGGCTGCCACGACAGTGTGTTCTGTCAAGATAGCAATTCACACCTTTCAATCTGTTGCTAGTTTTTGAAGGGCACTTGTATGCGCCTGCATTTCGCTTTATCACGTAAGTACACCGTGCGGAGTTCTGAGCGCGAGGAGCGGCGTACATATTAGATTCTTGTGTCTTTGGAAGAGGTCGTAATTTGGTTTGGTGAACGGCTGAGAAGGGTTGGAAAGGGTTATAACGCCCTCTTTCGGACTGGTTTTGAATGATTTATGACGAAACTTCCAGTAAGAGCTTGAAGTGAAGAAAATTAGGTTATTTCCGTCTTGCAATGGTCTTATTTCTGAGGGCATGCCGCCCAGTTTCCCCGTTGGGTTCTGATCACCCTTCGTTATATTTATTACGAGTAGGGTTGTGAATGTGGCGCTCCTAAAGCACGCCTACGCCCGGCCAGACCTTGGATCGTTGGCGAAGTTGCAGCAGGTCCCCGTCATCGTTCGACAAATTCAAAAATTTTAATGATCTCCCCCCCCCTTCTGAACGCCGATTACGACCACAGGGGAGGCGGCAGCGTAAAGCGTCACACTGCGACCCCGTCGTTGGTGTAGGATTGACGCTGCTCCGACCTTGCGAATACGACCACCACCCCTTTTCGTCGGCCAAAACGACCTTCCTCGTTGGACTTTGTCCAGCGGACGGTTGGCCCTGCGTCCGAGCCTTCCATTCCTCTAGGGTCGGCTAATCGGTGACAGGCCTGTTTCCTTGAGATTCTACAAAAGCGCGATAGCATGCTGCTCGCTAACAAAGTGACTGAATGCTAAGGGCTGGCATCGGCAAGAAGCTTTAGTGCTTGTTTCTGACCAACTTTCACATAATACCCCGGAGATGCTCCGACGTCCAAATGACTGCTCCTGGAGAATGCGAACTTAGCACTCAGAATGAACTTTGTCATGGTCTGTATGAAGAACTTGCTAAATTCAATAAGAAAATTGAAAAACGTGCACACCCTAAGTAACCTGGCGCGAATTAATATCTTGGTGGCGGCTAATACTCATACTTTTGTTTTACGCGGAACTTGACGTCTACTAGCTTTGTGGTGAAAGCACACCTCACCCTGGCTGAACACCAATTTCCATCCCTTTCCCATACATCTTTTTTTGGTCGTCCTCCCCATAAAGCCCCTATCACGTTAGGAAGTCCTCCAAGACGGTCTTCATAGAAAGAAGGCAAACTAAACAACGGCGACTATAATGCTGCGTAATAATTTCTGAAAACGAGGAGTCAAAAGAGAGACTTTTTACCCATTTTGTAGGACCTCGTTAGTAGAAAATTGCCTTTTGAATGTGTTCGTCCGCTCAAACAGAGTGAGGGCAGTTTATTCGTGCTTGGAGCTTGGATTAATCCCTTCTAAGACATGCACATGGCGAAAACGTGAGACTCCAAGTGCATCGCTCATGCGTCAAACAAGCTTCACTACTACTACATAATCATTCGAATGGCTCGAAACTAGCAACCAGGGTCAACCGTCCGTTGGACAAAGTCACCGAGAGGGTGGGGGGGTACGTATTTTGCGAGGTAGCGCCAATGTTACAGTAAGGGAAGGGATTGGAACGGATAGTGGGTTCTTGTAGGCTGGGCTTTTGGGTTGAGTGTGAGTGTGAAAGATTTTGCCGTTTCACGTTCCATATATACCCCCCCCCGCTCGCGGGTAATTTTGGAAGGAAAAGTGGGCGGAGTTGGGCTGTGTCGATTGGAACGCGCCCCCGGCAGGCGAGGGTGGTGGAGGATGGTCGTGAGGAGTTTGCCCTGGGGGGGTCGTATCGAGGCCCTCAGAGGGGGGGGGGGGTCGTAAAATTTTTGAAATCGGTCCAACGTGACGGTTGATCTTGCTGCGCTGGTCTCTTGCTGTAAATGAGGTGGTTTTGGGATCGAACTGCTTATAGTAAATATTCAAATTTTTTCCTGGATTGATGTGAGTAGTAACAGTAGCACCGCTTACTGAACCTGAAAAGCTTGCATGCACTTGGGGTAGGAGCAGGGGGAGGGGTCCAAAACTGCTGGCGGAACTTCGGTCCTGGCTGCGTCCAAGCGAACTTTCTTGCCCATGTTGGTGCTAGTTAAATAAGAAAAGAGTTTTCTGAAAGCAACCCTGGACGAGCATAATCTGTTTTTCCGAGGGTCATATGTGGCGGTCGAATTTGGTCATCACACTAAATTTTTGAGATAAAAGTGGAAGCCCAAAGGAATGATTTTCGCTCCGAGTCCTGGTTTTGGGCTACCGTTGAACAGAACGTTAGGAATGTAATTAGCTGACTGTCGCTTATAGTTGGCCTTTATGGAAAACAAATTTCCGACCGAAGAAAGTATGGGGACTCTAGACGCAGATCAAGGACACCGATCATCAAACAATCATATCATTAACGGTACTCAATAGAATTGCAAAGATGCCAGCATCGCGTTTCATAACTAAGAGGTTCAGAACCCTATCAGCTGCACTTCAATTGTTGCTTGCATCGATAAAATAAATGTCCCAACACAAGCAGTGGTGAAGGCATGCTTTATTAAAAGTTGAACAGAATGTGTGACATCTCTTTTTGGCTCGTTTTTACCTTTTAGGACGCCGTTGAAGTTCACACCTTTACAAAAGTGCAAGTGAATTGCTACTTAAATGAAATACAAAATTCGGCGCTATCGCAGTAGACGGGGCATCCTCTAGGATTAAGCCTAGAGAGGCAGGAGTCCCAGGAAAAATGAGAATGGCTCACTCACCTCGGAGTCCTTCTGTCCCTCCTAAGCTGAAACCCGTCTTTAACAAAAAGGAAAAGTTTTACAGGTTGATAGAGCCCAAAACTCTTCCCTTCATGTTATTTGACCCTTCCAAAATTTGTTCAAGACGGCAGCACAAGAATGAAGGATGGTTAAGGTAGAGATTCCCGAATGATCTGAGAAGTTATGGACCCATTCAGCACGAACAGTTGCATCCACTTCCTGAGTGTAGTGTGAGTCAGACCCCTCAGGTTCCATTTCCAGAAAAACGCCTGTTTTCTCCGGCATTGAGGAGCGACTATCTATTGGCACCCCTGTACTGTGGTTGGAAGAGTACTGTAGCGTATCGGAGAGGCTCATGCATCGGTAATCTCGAGTCAAGATCAAAAACACATTATCCTCCCGGGGTTCGTGGGGGCTTGAAACGACCGACCGGCTGATTCATTCAAAGTGCCTTCCGTCGGCTGCCAACTGCTCTGCTCACACACACATTCATGCCGATCACGCCGGGGTTACTCATCCACGGTCATTCCGCAACGAAAAAATCCATTCCACCGAGCGATCTCGCACTGCATGTCCACATGGGGCGTGGCCTCAGGTGCTTTTAAGTGATTTTGCAGGATTTACGCCAGCCAAAGTGTAAAGTGCGCCGCCTACAAATGATGAATTTTGTGGTTTTTGCTGTTGTAGAACTTTTACACGTTTCGTTTCTGCCTTTTTGTTCGTCTCTGATATTCCAGGCCTTGACTTAGGCTTCTGCAAACTAATTCGACGGCAGAAAATGACAACTACTGCCTGGACCAGAATCAGAAAAAAACTTCGAGTCAAAAATGATAGGGTCTAATTAAGGACACCATTGGACTGGAGACGATTCATGGAATGTTCCTGATTCACATTTTTTACAGCTTTTTTAAGAAAATGCGATTGAGCTTTCGAGCAGATGAGCTTTTGTCTGACCAGCCGATGAGATCGCGAAGGATTGTTTTCAGTAGGAGTAGTACTACAAAACGGTAGCTGTACAGCCCAACCATGCCTCAGCCTGGACGTTTGTCAAGCGTTTTTGTGATAGCAGCACGCTAAGTGGTATGTGTTATTGATAAGTGACCAGCAGCAGGGCTGATTCATTTGGAGCATGCTTTTTCGGGCGAATTTCTTCGAACCATCACCACCACCACCACCATCACTACTGATGTTGTATAGCGCCTCGTCCATCGTACTGACAATGTTTATCCTCTTTTTTTTATTGTAGTCTTTTGTTCTATTTATCCCTCGATTATTTGCCTACTGTTTTCACATCGTTCAAATTTTCCTTCGTGTATCTAACAAAATGCTTCTGGTCAACTGATTACTGATTCCATCTTCAGATGTCCAGCGATTGCTGTTATCTCTGCACAGAGTGTCCAAACTCCTATGCGACGTTTGAGGAGCTCGAACTGCACATGCACTGCCATAAGAAAACAACACAGATGGAGACACAAAACAGCGTTGAGGTGAGTCAAAGTACCGGGTTTCTACTGAGTTTATATAGGGTAGAGAAGAGAGGAAGCCTTACATCGAGATGTAGCACATACCGATGTAACCTGCGAGATGGTGGTCGAGCAGACGGAACAAGTCTTTCTTACCTCAATTCTTTCCCACCTCTTCCTGCTAACCCTAATTCACTCTTTCAATAAAAAGCCAGACTCATAAGTAATGAAAGAAGGTGCATTTTTCAATACTACCCTAAAATTCCATGGATAATCTTGCCCAAAAATTAGAACGCTTGCCAAAGTAAACGCTATCAAAATAGCGTGTGTCTTGTTAAAGATGTGCTGTTTTTTTTTTGTTTGTGATTTAATTCAGTTATCATTCTTTGTTTCAAAATGAAAACCCGCCTAAAAAAGCTATGTCATGTAAGAAAAGGTGGAGCAAGCAAAAAAGCGTGCGCATTTCTGCAAAAATAGCAATGAACTGATATCTGAGATTTTAGGTGGGTAAATTTAGAAGGAGATTGACTTGGATGTGATATTGGATGAATTAAGATATGTAAGTTACGCTATGGCCCCATGTCACTTGAGCTGTCCACTGCCCGATTGTTAAAGATCTGGTCCTCCAAATGATCTGAAAAGGTCTTGCTCTGCCGATATATGAATAAAGATAAAGAAGGTTCTATTTAAAAAAAGGGGTGTCAGGTTATAAAAATTATTAAATGTTAATTTATTATATAATTAAAATTTATAATTGTGTTGTAAATTGAATTATCAAATTAAATTTAGAAGTTATAATTAAACTATTAAAAAATTCAAAAAACTTATGAGTTGTATTCCACTATTTTGCCTCGTTGCCCAGAGGAAAAAAAATCTTGACACCATAACCTCTAATGTGGCATTGATTGGTCTCATGTATGGATGATACCTTTTTTTGACTACATAGGTGACCAAGCGTTTAGAACAAAACCAGGAGACAGTGGCGGCCTACACTAATAAGATGAGTGGACTAGATCACCGAAAGCGATCGCGCAAGATATTGGGAACATACGAGAGCACGGCGTAAACCTTCTGTTTCTCATACCTTCTAAGTTCTTCGTCAGGCTCAATCTTCTTGGGGCTTGTTTGGCAAATGCGAACGCAGGACTATTCGAGCCGAATGTTCATTACTCCCGTAGATTGCATCAGATTACCTTCGGCTCTGATTTTGCGATTTATCGTTGAGAAACGAATAGAATCGCCTAGGGGACCATATCATAACTCCTAGTTTTCTGCACAAAGTTTTAATCACTTTCTAAAACTTAAAATCTCCAAAATTACTTGAACATGTATCAATACGCATTGTGCACTACTGAGTCAGAATAATTCCAATGCATTGATGAGTCAGCTGTGGCTGAACTTGGTGTGATGAGTAATGAATGTGTCGTGTTCGAGCACGCTAACGTAACCAGCAACTTTGTACGCAATTACACAAAAATCTATATTTACCGGTGACCTATTGAAGTCCTGGTTCACCTGATTGGAAGGATGGTTTCGTCAGGAATGGGCTAACCCGTCAGGCGGCCGCAGCGCAGTGGCTGAAGGCGCTAAGCTAATCTGTGGCAATGGTTCAGAACATTAGGCCCCCGCACCCCCGGCATCAGTTATTTGGTACAATATTGACTCCGGTCTATTGAGGCACTGTTTTGAGCGCTTCCTTCAGATAAGTGACGAATGCATGGCGTTTCCAAAGGAATAACAAATGCCGGCTACACAATACCTCATCCGTTCGCTTCCGATGGATTGCGCAGTTTCCAGTGTTGGCATTTGCTTGAAGACGCGCAGCTTTTGCCGTCCGTCGCCGCAGTTTTATTGTCTTTGTCCGCTGAATGATGTGAAACTCAGCTGTTCATTACGGCCCGTCTGTCTGCAGAGTTGAAGGTTTGAACTCACGGCACAAATGCCCAAGACAAGTACTTGTGAACATTGCTGAACCCCATTCATCATTTTCATTCCCCCAAGAGCAAAAAACAGAGGGTCAATCTCTGCCAGAAATGCGCTCCATATGGAGGGTGCTGCGCATTCTGGCTGACCCAAGAAGATTCAACCCATCCCACGTGGTGACCAGTTCATGATTTCACCCAGAAGCATCTCACGATGGTTCTACCAGCCAGCCCTGTGTCACGACGCACCACGGCGGCTAGCCTTGCGGTGAGCCGCGCAGATGAACATTGAAGCTTGACACAACCAAAAGAGCGGTTAAGATGAGTAATAGTGTGCGATTCATAACAGAATTTTCGATAGTCAAGCGTTGCAATCTTATCGATGAATCTGACGAGAATCCCGTAGCAGAGTATCGTACCATTATTATGGGCATTTTGACCTAAATACTAGTCCAACCCCGCTTTCTTTCGGTAAGATGAGCAGCAATATCTTTTATATCCATCTTCGTAGGCCTTGTGCACTCGGCGGAAACTCCATGGAGCTCCGACCAGCGGCGTGAATTCGCGCCATGCACGCGTACGTGTTGCGACGTTGTCCTTTGTAGACGACTGATTGATTTTTGGATCGGCTCCTCAAAGGGTACAGCTATATTTTATCAAATCAAATAAAATAAATTAGATACATTATTTTAGAACTGCTAGCATGATTTTATATTTTTGCTAGCACGGTTGTAGAAGCTAGGTGCATCAATCCATTTTATAGATACGATAGAGCTGTTAACAATGGAAGGAAATCTATCATTACCGCGTCTCGCAAGGGGCAACAACTTTACGCCACGGAACGTCTGCGTCTCTCTTGTCCACCATACTTCCTCGTTTGTCTCCCCGTCACGCAGTACCTCTTTTTCGTGGCATGGTTAACCCCAGTAAAAGGATGGCTTCCACAATGGATATTTCCCACGGGTGCTCTCCTTTTCCTTCATTAGTGGTCCACCTCGAACTTCTAGGCTTTTTTTTCGAGCGAAACAGTTACATATTGTAAAAATGCGATCCAAATTTAGAAAGAAGCCGGCTCGATAGTAGATTTGTAATAAGACTAATTAGCGCGCAAGATAGGAATAGCAGTAATTACAGATAACCCGACTGCCATCGATGCCTTTTTCTTTAGGAGCATGAGTTATCGGAAGTAGATCGGCACTCGCCGAGCAGTTCCGATCTGACCGACGGTATGATGTCGCACGATGTGGACGAGGACCAGATGGATCAATCGATGGACGACACGATGCTTGATCAATCGATCGATTCCATCGAGGATTTGAAACCTGGCTATCAGTGTCGCTTCTGTCCGACACGTTTCGATGAGCGACACCAGGTACGTGAAACAGATGATCCCAATGAGCGAGTGCCCTCAATCAATTATCGATCGTTTCAGTTGAATCTTCACTACACAAGCTGCCACCGAGACAAGCCACAGTACACATGCGATGTGTGTCACACGATTTTCGCGGTGAAACGAGAACTTTCCACCCACATGAGAACGCACAGTGGCGAACAACCGCATACGGTAAGTTGACGGCCACCGACAGGACACCTAAACCGAAGCCAACCGCGCTGGCTGCTTTCACATTTACTGCCCCAATTTCATGGAAATATGTACGGTGTCAATAGATGGGTTTCCAACGGAGGTAAAGCTTGGCACCCCTGCGTAAACTAGGTGCCCTAGCCATAGTACACCTACACCTTCACAACATTACCTTACGGCTTTACCTTGTTTATTGTCCGGCCA